ACTTTTTTAACTGCCATTCTTCTGAGGCTACACATGGCTCATTCTAAAAACACGAACGTAATACCAGTGCACTAATCTGATTTGAGGCATCAATTGCAGCCGGAGCGGCGGCAGAACAAAGTCTTCTGGTCATGACAGGGGAGCTTGGCTGAGCTTCCCTTCCCTGGGGACTAGGTCTCTGTAGTCTTGCCTCCAGCACTGCAGGAAAAGAGGCTTCCTCACAGCCTTTGGGCCTTGTTGCCCATCCTCTCTGCTGCACTGCAGGGACTGGATCAGTTTTGACTTTATACAATAAGAAAAATCTGGGCAGTGGAGCCAAGCACCTCATTTAGAAAACCCACACTCCGCAGGGTGTCATGCGTATGGTTTTGCAGCATTATCCATTTGTTGTCACCTTCTTTTTCCACCAAAACCTTCCTGTAGCCATGTGGGTTGACGAGTAGCACTGGGGCAGCAAGTCATCTGCTGTGGGGAGCTGGGAGAGGTTGGCTGCCACCTGGTTGTGGGTCACAGGGTTTAGCTTTCCTGTGGCTTAGCAGCCAAAAAAAGAAGTAAGAACTGAAATTCAGAATGGAAGTGACAGGTTCATTTCACACCCACTTTGGCTGAATGCTGAAAATGTGTAACGGCTGCTACTCAGGTTGTACTTCTTTAAGTGGTTGTCACACTGATCAGACAGGTTTAATCTGTATCTTAGATGAGAAATTATCTTGCAGCTTAGGCTTGAAGGCTAGGAAAATGAATTTTAATTTGAGGGAAATGGATTTTACTTCCTGTTGATCTCACCAGATGTTTCCAGGTTTACAATATATTAACAGAAAGAATATGTGGAATACAAAATAAAGTGGAGTCTTCCATACTGCAGCTTCTATGAGACTGGAAGGTGACATTAGGATAACTGTTAAATTTATGTTCCATCTGGAAGTAAGACAGGAAGGGATCTTAAAAGAATAAAAATTGTATTACTGACCTGGCATGAACTTTTGTGGTCTGTAAAGCAATCAGGGGAAAAATCTGATTCCAAAATGCATAAAGAATTGTTATGAAGATATGTCACTGTTTAATTTTCACTAATATGTATTCCTAATTTAAACAGCTGACAGTGAAGCAGTTCCATTTTATATATACTCCAAATTTTTGTAGGAGTTACAAGAGGGGAGGAGGTTTCTACGTTAAGCTACCAATAAATTTGTTTCCAAAATAAGGAAAATAAGTCTCAAGACCATGACGTATCTTCACGTAGGATAAGGTTGAGAATTAGCTGTAGTTCATCTATATTTGTATCTTTATTGATTTCTTAGCAAGTTTTGTGTAGGAATATATTCCCTCTATTTTTTTTTTCTACCTTGGAATGGGTAAGTAGAAGTAGTTATACAACACTTTCTCAAAATGTGGTAAGAATATAATACCATTTATGTCAGTGGCATCAGTTCAGGGTGTTTCTCAAATTTATCATTTTGAAAAAAAAAAAAAAAAGATCATTACCTGTTTATGTCACTTTTTGCTATTTAGAGGATTTGTAAATGTTTATGTCTAGCAAAACTTATATGCAAATGAAAAAGAAGCTGGAAAGTGTGGAGGTGAGGTTTTTTGAACTCTGGGGAAAGGTGAAAAATTTTGAGATAGTTTTGTATTGGTGAACATTTTGAAGCATTGTGTGTCACATCATTTTTTTTTATCACATCAAACTTTATATTTGTATGGCCTGATGATTGCTAAAAAATTCATAGAAAACTTGTGTAAATTGAAGTACCTGTAACTGATAGTAGAATCAACATAGAAACAGAAAATAGCTTGAGTTGGAAGGGACCTTAGCAACCATGCAGTTCCATCTCCCTGCCATGGACAGGGCTGGCACCCACTAGATCACTCTGCCCAGGGCCATGTCCCATGCTTCATGATACCCTAGACATTATCATTTATTTCTGTAGTGCTTTAATTATAATGCTGTTTCAAATGTATACATATTATACATATTCAAATATATATATTTATGGGCTTATTTTGTACGTGCATTTATAGGTGCAAATATTTGCATGCTGCTGTCTCTGAGAAGTTTGGGTGGGACAGTGCTGTTGTGCTTTGTGTTGTTAGGTATGTTATGATGTAGGTGTTTTTTGCTCTCATGCATAGCTCATTATTCCAGTTCTTTTCAGTATGCTAAGTATTTGTAGTAGATCTCAGTGACTTTATCTGAGGGAGGTCAGCCATGCTTGTTTGCAAACTGAGAGCATCAAAAGTCCGTAGGGATTTTTCATGTTGCCGCCTTCTCATACTCCAGCTGAGGTTTCTTAGAGGATCCAACCTTTTGACTTTTAAGATCTTCTGGATAGCCACCTCCTAGAAATCAGCACCCTTAAGAAAATCTTACTTTGAGATTCTCATTATGAAAGTTTCTGAGGTCACAATTTACTCACGCAACCTGATTTATGTTGTACTAATCCAAAGTAATGTTTCGCTTCTAATTCCCTGCCTGGCCAAAATGTTAATGACCAAGCTTCGGCCCATTTTCTTTTATCAAGTAGAGCAAATCTGTCTTCACCATCCCTTGAAAGACTCTGGTGCTTTCCCAGGACAGGCAGTGCCAAACATGACTGCAGCTCTGGGAGGATGTTGTCCTGTGATAGAGGGCAGGTTGTGTCCGGACGGAGCAGGTGCATTTTTGGTATGTGCGAGCATCACCACCATCCCATGTGCAGTGGGAGCCTTCAGCAGCTGAGGGGGAGAAAAAAGTGCTGGAGAACTTAGAGAAAAGAAAGAGGTTAAAAACAAGTGTGAAAAGTTAGATCGTAGCACTTCGTGTCTTGAAATGAAGGAAGATTTTTCTGGAAGGCTTTAGTCACCTGGGAAGGAAGGATCGGGTAGCTGTGTGGGAGGCAATTTGCAGGCAAGTGTACTCCTCTGCAGTCGATCGGTACATTTTAATGAGGTAAGTATATTTGCTCTGTTTTATAGGATTTGCTTTGGACTGGAACTCTGGAAGTCATTTTAGATAGACTGCTTTGAGATATAATGGTCAGGGGGAAATATTTGAAACATATCATATGGAAGCTGTGTATTTGCAACATGTTTGTAGGGTTTTAGAAGCGGAGTTATTTTCAGCAGAAAATTGTCTCTTCTTCAGAAGAGATTTTTATTGTAAATTAAGGTCATGCAAAGGATGTAAAAAAAAACAGATGTGAAGTTAGAAACTGCCATAGCTGTTTAATTTTGTTCTTCTACTTAATGTATTTATTCACATCTACAGCCATCTCTCAGTCCATGCCATACCATAGGAAAGGAAGTTTTCACGCTAGCATCCTTGATCTCTTCTCATCTCCATCCTGTAGGCTGCCGGAGGCTGTATGGAACCATTTTTTAAATGCAGAAGTATTCCCCTCAGGAATGGGAACTCCCACATGCTGGTGGATGGGAAGAAAGGGAAGGGCCAGGCTGTGCTCAGGTCCTTTGAGGGGAACAGGCTGTAGTTGCCTCACATGGACCATTCCTCACAGTAGGACAGACAAGTCCTTTTGCCTTGGGACCAGTGTTACTTGTGCAGGGCAGTTTCTTTCACGCAAAAAGGAATTGCCTGTGTTTAGACAGAGATGCCAGCAAGCGAATGCATTTGGCTGATGGGCTAAATAACAAACAAAGATGAGTGGAAGAATTCCCCATTTTCTGGAATTTCTCATTTTGACTTTGCTCCTTTCGCTTTTCCAGATCTTTTTTTTTGCTGTTGTTTCTTCCAGCAGTGTTATCTATTACATTTGTCCATTTTGTCCTACTTATTTGGTTTGCTAACTTGTCCTTTCTCGGGCTTGTTTTTGCATTCTTTCTACTGTAGGAACAGAGAGTTTATAATAGCCATAGCCTGTCTTCAAAAGGTGAATCTGCAGTGTTCTAAGTAATCATTACATAAGTCACTAAAGAAAGATAAACATGTCCTCATCATGAGGAAGAAATCATTCCAAGGGCAATATAAGTATCTATCTACCAGTTTTCAGTCATGCTTCTTATTTTCTTCCAAGACTTTCTGTGCAGATTTTTCACAATTGCTTTAGCATCTACTTTTCTCTAAATTTCAAAAGCTCCTGAAAAAAGCTTTCAGAGAAAGACTCGGTCTCATAATAAAGAAAAATACAGATTCTTTGGTTTCTCCAACTTTGTTTGATTTTAGAAAGATTTAATATAGAACTAGCCCCCAGCTTTAAAAAGAGCTGGAGTGCAGGATGCTCTGCATCCAGGGCACAGGGAGTGAAGAGGCTGTCAGTCAGAGTTGTTCTGTGCCCGTGTGTTTTATACAGCTGAGCTGCAGCTTCACTATCACTGAGGATGGCTGTGGCTTCTTGTTCACATAATTCTGAAATAAGCTGGTCGGCACATATTTCTGGGTTGGGTTGCTTGGGATAGCTGGGAAAGATATGTTGTGCCAGGCTCAGAGGAAGCGGTGTTGAGCAAAGGCTCTGAATTCTTGCAATTAAATTATGTTGCATGAGAAAATACTGAACAGCGGAGAGTTGTGTTTTTCAGGAAAAATTACACAATCTTTTTAAAGTTACAGGCTCCTTCTTCCTCTGAGGAGCTAGTGGTTATAAGCTGAACAACCTTTTGCATTGCTTTCCTCTGCTTTCCATGGCAGAAATTTAAGTTCAGTTTAAGACTAAGTGAGCATGCTTTTGTGTCATAGAATCATAGAATGGCATGGGTTGAAAAGGACCATGAAGATCACCTAGTTTCAACCCCCCTGCAACAGGTAGAGTCTCCAACCACTAGAACTACTTACACTTCATTTTTTCATAGGGGTTAGTATGAATTTTGAAGACTGTCTTCATTACATACCAGGTACTGGAAACTGTCAGCAACCTGCTAATAAATGCTTCTTTCCTTTTCTTCTTAAAGGTGTAATTTATCATTCCACATTATTAAAAAGCAGGAAGGTTGGGAGAAACAGCAACACATATAGGTTGAGGATTCGGAAGATTAAAAATGTTCTTATTGGTTGTGTTTCCAATTTTCAGGAATTCTTTGAACATGCGAAAAAGCTCTGGGATGATGAAGGCGTGAAAGCATGCTTCGAGAGGTCAAACGAGTATCAACTGATTGACTGTGCACAGTAGTAAGTGTTTCTTTTTATTGATTTAATAGCCAAAGATGTAATTGTCTATGAAGTTTAAAAATATATTTGCATTTGCAAGATCTAGGAGTTTTGGAATGCAGCAGTTAAAGTTCTAATTCTAATTGCTGGTTTTATGATAGCCTGTCTTTTTCGTACAATTAAATCTTCTACTTCTGATATTTAACAGTTTACAAAAGCTACTGTGAAAGAAAGTATCAAATTAAAGAGTTTTAAATATCTGTATTATTTGAAATAGATATGCACAGAATCATTTTGATTTAAATGATTCAGCTTTAAAAATTCAAAACCAATATAAGGAAAATGCTGTGTTTTAAATTCTGTGACTCAGGCAGTGCTTGAAAATAGCTGTTTTTCTTTGCATTTCACGAAAACTTCTCTACTTTTTATCAAACAAGATGCATACCTGCATTACGATTGCATCTCTAATGTATACTCTGGGAAAAAAATGATAAGCAGTATTTCAGTAAAATTAGTATTAATTTTACTGTAAATTAATTTTAATTTAGTAAAATTTAAAAAAAATTTAATTTAGTAAAAAGTTTGTTTTTCTCACTTTCATATACATAAAGTCAAGCAGTACATTTGTGTGTAACACAGTAGTGACCCCTAGTCAGGTTTGTGTGACTACTAACGTTCTGAGAAGAGATGTGTAGAAGATTGTGAAGGTGCAAATCATAAATACATAGTAACTGATGAAAGTAGATTAGTCAGGAAGTAATATATTAACGTGCCAGGACTACAGCACTCTGCTGTCCTGGTAATAACACAGCTCTGAGTTAGACTTCAAGCAAAAATACACATTTCATGTGAATAGCTATTGTGAAAATGCATACTCTTAGAGTTGCTGTGTGATTTAGGGTTTTCAGAGAACACACTCCAGTGTGTTATGATTTGTCTAATTGGCAGTATGGTCAGTAACAATACCACAAGTCTGTTGTAGCACTCAGCGTTTTGTTTTTCTGTCCTCTGCTCCCAGTGCCTAAGCTCAGGCAGAGAAAATGGCCTGTGTTGCTAAAGGAATTGTTGCACTCCTGCCACAATGGGGAATTTTGGGGCTGTGGAGAGTATTTTCTTTTCCCTCGTTCCAGACTATTTTGGGAAAAGAGAAGGATCCAGTGATGATTCATCAGCACATGGAAGCAAGGGAAAAATGCATATGTGTAGGAAGGAACTCATTTGACTTCAATGGATTAAATTTACCAAAGCTTGGGTGTTAGCCTGGCAGTGGTCAAGATTGACAGTGGTTCCGTATAATGATGATGATGATGATAATAATAATAATAATAATAATAATAAAACACACAGAAAGTTGTCCTGAGTTGTAATCAGTGGGTCTCTCCTTTGCCATTGCCCACCACCTCCATGGTACAGAACTGTGTTATGCTTGCTGAAAAGTCCGGGTTGACTTTTTGTGCTGTCTATTAATACACTCAAGTAATATCTCAGAACAGTAAAATCAAATAGTGACATATATTTAAGGTAAATGGATATAAAGCTTACTGTACTGATCAGTAAAGACCCATATGGCTCCCAGTCTTTGGAAAAAGAGCCTTAAAGAACCAGCCAAAGACGCTGTGGGGTTTTTTTGGTACTGTGTTTTCCCTTTGAAATGTTGCTTAACTACAAATATTGACAAGAAGGTTAAGTCTCGTGGCCTGTTCAAAAACAAAACAGAAATTCTGAAAAAAAGTGGATTTAGAGTGAAGTACACTGTTCTGAAACATTAAATTAATTTTTTTTTTTTCTAAAAGCTTGAAGTAAGATAGTTGGTTTTTTTTCTATGTATCTTCTCCACCTCTTTCAAATGACTTTCTTTTGGTGGAGTCATTCATTGTAGTAGTAAACAGAAGACTTGCATAATTTTCTACCTTCAAGATGATTTATGAAGTAGTGTTTAATATTTAAATATTCCTTAAGAATATTTGTGCTTTACATTTGTGATATACCTGAAAATGTGGCAGTTAAGCAACTTAACCACATTTTCAAACCTTCAGTCTTGGCACAGAGACTTGAAACTCAGCAGTACTTGTGTCACTGACCTGACCAAACAGCCCTTTCTCCTGGTGCTGATAGCTGCCCCTCCATCATTCCTTAAAAATTAAAATGGTACTAAGATAGTCAGTGAAAGAGATTGTAAAGCCATCATGTATTTGCTGCATGCTTGTGATTGTATGTTGTACAACAGTAGTTGCTTTACCCAAAAGAATATCTTTGGGCTTTGGATCTCATTCAGAGTGGTGGAGTGATGTTAGCCTTTTTGCTGAAGCACATGAGAGAAGTGTAGGTTAGAAATACAGTTCTCATGTGCAATACTGTTTTGGCATGTGCACACACAGAATGGTGACAGTGAGGATGCTGTCCTTCTCGTTCAGTGGGACGGGATGATATAACTTTTATAACCTGTCCATAGGATTTAATGAGTGGGGAAGGAAAAGAAAAAGAAAGAAGTGGGCAAGGAAGGTAATGCTGATACACATGCTTACTTGTGGGATTTTTAAGCATCTCCATTGTTTTCATCACACAGACTATGGGAGAAAGCATCTCAGACTCTTAGCTAAATCCCAGTCTTTTACCTCTTGTCACAGGAAGAAATTTTTATCAGTAAGTTACCACTAATTTCTTGGCTTTAAAAACAGCAAAACCAAAAAAGTCCCAGCTTGCATTAAAAAATACATTTGGATTACAAATTGGATTGCTGACTTAAAATACTGAAAAGTTTACTAGCATATATCATAGCCAGTGACACAACTTGGTGACTGTTAAGTGTGTTACAAATTCATTGTATTTTAAAATGGTTTAATTTGGCTATGATACGGAGCTTCTGTGTTTTTAAAGCTTAACCTAATTTTCTTTGTTGCTCTGGGAGAAATACTTTGCTGGACAGAGAGGTACTAAAAAGACACAAAGACAGATTCTTTATTTACGTTGGGCCTGAAAGTTGCTTTTCCTTGATCTTTAATGCCTCTTTAAATTACCAAGATCCTGGTCCTCCATGGAAATGAAAGTCAGTGCCTGCTTCTCAGGCCATTTTAGTATTCTGACATGACTGCTCCATACATCTACACTATTTACTGTCATACTATTACCTGATATGGTATATGCAGCAAATGTGAAATTGTGACCCAGGAGACCTTGTGCTCTAACAAGAGTAGATAGATCGTAAGCAAAGATCTGAGTTGTTCTTCTTTACTGACTACAAGTGTATTTAAGTTACTCTTGGAGGGGAGTACTACTGTCAAACTTATTTTTCCTTAATGACCTTCACATATTTATTTCTTCTTGATTGATACTGTAACAGTGGCAGGTTATTGTTTGCCTTGTCTTCTGCTTCAGTATTCCTTTCAAGTTAAATTTCAAGATTAATTTTGAAAGTTGATTTTGTTTTGTTGGACTAAGATCCAGCTTACCTAGATTTCAGTGGGTTGGTTTTGTCTGTGATAACTCTTTTGTCTTACCTCAATTAACTTCAACTTATTTAAAACTACTGTGATTTGGTAAATATTCACAAACTTTATATTCAGCAAATGCTAGCTTTGTAAGGGATTTTCAGATTGCGCGTGATTTAGTGCTGTATTGGCACTGAACTGTGTGGTATGTATACTGTAGACCAGAGTATCTTCACAAAATATTTCATGTCATTCTGGAATAGTTTCCTAAAAACTGAATAGTTTTCTGTAAGATTAATGCAAATCCATCTTTAAATATTTTATCTTCTACATACTTGTTATTGAGAAACCAAATTTTATTTTATCTGTGCAAGAGACTGCAAAGCAAACTGCCTTGAATATAGGAGTGATCAACAGAAGTAAAGGTATAGTTGTGATGACCTTCATTTACAAAAAGAAAAGTTGATGAGTTTATTATTAAATTTGTTTGCATCTTCTGAGAACGTTAATTGCTGAGCTTATGAAGAAATATAAAATTTTCTTTTTCAATAGCATGCCTTCCAGTAGAGTTGTAGGTTTTTGTTACCTATTTGTTGTACGTTATACATGCAAGAGAATGACTTCGTTCTAATGCTAGTGGTTCTACTTTTAAAGTCCTCTTTCTTCACTGTCAGCTGTACTGTGCATTAATTGGTGGCTTCTTTAGTAATCCAGGAAAAGCTGTTGAAGTTACTTTTGACTTAGAAACTTATATATGGGCCCAATGATAGCAGTGAAGTTGAAGACTTCTGTGGAATTCTGTCTGCATTGGAAAATAGTGGGGTCTTCTGGTCTGGTGACATACATCTGTTGTCTTGCTAAAATAAGAGTTAAGTGATCTTGGTTACTCATGTCAGCTGCTCAGATGACTGGGTAAATTTGGTTGTAGAGACATGAGTTGTGGGGATACTTAGAGCACTTAGGCAATATCTGGGAAAGGTAGTGATTTGTAAAACAAAAGAGTAGGCAAGAAGTAGGGACAAAAAAACCACAAAAGCAGAAAATCTGGTTATCTTCCTAGGTCGCATACAGTTTGCTCATGGCATCTTTGTTAGGAAAAAATAACTGCTCTTAGATTTATTAGAGGGTTTGAGAATTTAGTTTTATCTCATTGCATTCACACAAAATAACAGCGTGTGTGTGTACGTGGGCACGCGGGTGGCTGTAGCTGGAAAGGTTGTATGTACTTCTGTTTGCTGTGTTCCTCTGTTTAAGAACTAAACCAAGAGATTAAGAGAATACTGCTCTGAGCCAGTAGTTTACCCCAGTTTGCTCACTGATCTTCTTTACCTTATAAAAGATATACTCGAGTGTGAAGGCCTAGATTGGTCTCTGTGCAAACGTTTGTGCTAATGAAACTTGATTATGCAAGTTCTCAGACAAGCAAACACAAGGGATGTGAGCTTGGCCAAAGAAAATTGATTTTATATTTGAGCTAACATACATGCAAAGGATACATCTCAAGTTCTTTTTTGTTCGTTTGTTTTTTGTAATTATTCTGTCTTTGAGAATGGTTTCAGCCAACTTTTGGGGCATCTATCCAGGCATTAGATG